TATATACAAAATGAAACCAGTAAAACTATTTTTTGACTTAACCGTATTTTGTACAAGAGAGATCCATTCTTAGTGCACGAGCAAGTCATAAGACAACTTTAACTTTAGTGCCTTCAGTCTTAATTTGAGATGATACTTTGAGGTAATACATTTTCTTATGTTCCCGTTTTCCCTATGCCTAATGGAAACAAGATCTTTTTGAAAGAATACTCGTTCCCGCCAGTAGGAATAATTTTTTCATTATTTTATAGTGCTCCTTAATGTTTCCGAATTATATGTTTCCATATAGTTATTAAATCCTAATGGAGTTATTTGAAGCAGATATTACAATTATAGCGGAATCAATTGTACCTTAAAATGACCAAATACAAGCTCACATTTTAAACTTAATATAACATGATTAATAAATTCAAATTGGCATTCCCATTTACAAGATACCTAGTGCAACATTGAGTTTAGTCTTTGGACAGAAACATCAATTTGCAAGTGGTACTCTTGGTGTAGTAATCAAACATTGACAATTCATTCCTGTCAAATAATAAGCCTTTCTTTGGACCGACTTATTATTCACATGAAAAAATCATAATAATTATCACATATTTATTACCACAAGTATATTTTGATTTCGACCAAATAGTGAACTTGCTTTGGGCTGATCATTACCCGCATGAAATCAAAACACACGCAACTGTCATCTTGGTATTTTAAATTAATTGATCAATACAAAAGAGGTTACTTTGGCGACGTATTGTATCAACCAATCAATTTAAAAATATTGGACATCTGAAGATAGATTTTTTTTATGCCAAATTTAAATCTATATCACATTATATCTGTAGTCCAAAAGTTTAGGGCAAAACCTTAATCCAAATTCCTAACATACGCAATAAATAACAAGAAGAACAACTAACCAAAATTATCAATCATTGTTACATGTTATTTAGGAAATTCAAATGTTGCTTGGAAACTTCATTGATTCATGTATATACAATTACTGTATATTAACTACTGTAATTATGAGACTTGAAAATGCCAAAAACAATACCAAAAGAAAAAATCCTGAAGGGCAGCAAACAATTTTTTTTTTTTTACTTAGTAATTGGATAAACCAATCCTTTCCCACTCCCACTATTCACATTTGTGGTGGTACAAGAATGTCAGTGGCATTGTAGAGTTGTATACTGTAACACCAAAGACGAAATGCAGCAAATAATTACAAGAAATTTAAAGCCTTAAATCATGAATCAATATATCACCGTAACCGAAAAGCATAAGGACAAATCCTTTTTATTCGCTTTGAAAGTATCTTAGCAGTTTATTAGTCAGTCAAAAAACTTTGATCATAAACAAAGATTTTTTTTTTTTTTATCACCGAAATAGAAGACGTAATAATCTAGTCCATATTGCGCCAACATAAGTACCATAAAATAAAATTTAACCAAAATTATCACCGAAAACGAACGAATGTCAAAACTTCAATAAAATAACTTGAATCTTTAAAACCTGATCAATATTGTGTCAAGACAAAATAAAATCTTGAAGGTGTAATCACCAAAGCTGAAAACACTTGATCAAATCTCGATGTTGCCAAATTTGAAACCCACAAGTTAACCAAATAAATAGCAAACCAAAATTGGCTATCGAAAACCAAAAAAGAAAACCTGAGCAGCTTCAACAAATTCGAACCGACACCAATTTAAACTCATAACCGAAGGGTTTGGTTTAGATTTACATCAAATATGAATTTTATTCTTTTTAAAAAATAATAATAAAAACTAAGTAAACAAACCAGAAAACTTCAAAACTGAAGATTTAAAAGCAAATCTGGAGAGATTTTGATTTCGCTAAAAATTTACTCTTCAAACAAACAAGCAGAGCTTTTGTTTTCAACCTTATTAACATAAAACCTTTGGCACCGAACCAAAAATGATGACAAAGTCACCGAAAACAAAAAACAAAAAAAAAAGGCCTTGATTGTGTTATCCGAATTGAGTTGAACACAAAAATTAACAAAAAATTTGAGAAACAAAAAAATCTTGATAACCGGAAGACACAACAATCCAATCGAAATTGCACGGAACTGAAATACCATATACCAAAGTCGGCTTCTCAATTGGGTTATCATGACCGAATTTCAAACACAAAACTTGAACCAAATTTCTCAAATAATTGACATGAAGGGTGCTCTGATACCACTTGTTGGATTAAATCCATATACCGTAGAGACCTTCACATCAAATTATTGAGAATTATACGAAAGCGGAAGCGTACCTTAATAGTGGCAAGAACATCAATCCGGTTTGGCCTTCCAGATGATTCCGTCAAGCCCTTGCGGGAAACTCTGACAAATGGGGAGTCGAGATTTTGGCATGACGGCTCATTTGGGGACCACAACCAATATATGATAGGGTTTCCGGTTCCACCCATCACAGAACAGGAAACTGGGCCTTAGGGTATCTACATAATACTGAGCCACACCTTATAACTTAATTATTATAATTAACCCAAACTTTAGTTGATTTAATTAGATCACTTTATGTGGGCTAGTATTTTATGATAACTTATAATATACAATTATATATATTTGTGTATAAAGTCCACATAGATCTTACAAGTTATACGTTGATACGAACTTTCTTGTCCATATAGATTGTAATTTATCTGTTTCCTCAGATACTTATTCTCTATAAGGGTTCGGCACACCAAGAATCTAATCCAAACCGATGCACAAGAATAATCTACTTTAATATCCCCTTGAAGTAATCAATCTTTGAAAGTTGGGAAATATATTTTTCCATTTAACTTCCGCATGAAAAGACTACTTGCGCCGTAGTATTATTATTGGAAAGTTTACGAATGTTGTAAGAAAGATATTTAAATAGCTCCGTTTCAAGTAGTGGTATATAGGCAAGTGTTTGGACATTATTTCCCGTTTCTTTTCTAGGTTTAAGAGGAACTACCCTAGAAAACCAAACATTCGTTAGTGGATGTACGGAATAACCTACCCTTTGGCTGAGAACCTGACCGGAAGGATAATGGTTTTCTCACATAAATAGAACAATGATTCAATGTTTACCACCCGAAACTTTTAAAAACGAATGATACATGCATGAACAATTTGCAAGAAGTGATTATCAATGTAATAAATGACATATCCTTTCATATACATTTTTCATCTGAGTTTCGTATACTCTCTCTGTTCCAAAATTATTGTCCAATTTAAATTTTCATTGTTAGTTAAATTTGTATTGAAAATGAAAAATAATTTTAGAACAGAAATAATATAAATTGTGTCTAAAATTCAAACCATCTCCGTAATAACCTTAATTGCATAAAATTTAAGTAGAAATGGTAAAAATGGATAGATGTGGTTTAATCCACATTATTTCTTTGCAATTTTTCTTGTAAATTATTCTATGCATACATCGTTATTTTCTTGTATATATTTAAAGTTAGTTTAAATTAAAATCAGGTCATTATTTATAAATCCTACTTATAATTTTCTCTCCGTAAGTATTGCTACTCTTTAAAAGAATTCTTCAAATCTGGAAATAGTACCCCCCCCCCCTCTTTCCACGGTGTTTTCTTAGGAAATTAAAACTGATTTTACCCGTAATAAAAGAGAATTACTTCGTCAATATATTTCTTCAAGCAATATATCAACCTTTATTTATCGAAAAAAATCATTCTCCGTACGTCTTGGAAGAAAATAGGTACATTTAAAAACCAAAATCTCTAGATTGGACAGATTAACCTTTTAAATTGAAAAATCAATAACAAAAAGGGAAAATTTGGCTACAGGGAAGTAGAAAATGTTACATTAATAAAAGGGGTATGAGTTCAAAATATTTTCTATGAAGGGCGGTAATCTATTTGTTAAAAACTACAAAATTAATATATTTTTATAGTTACATAATTACCCTTATTTTTATTTCCTTTATAAACTCATAAAATACACATAATAAAAATTAGTTTCCTGAAGGTCACTCACAGCCGCAGAGGGAAGAAAAGGGATTCAGAACTCGGGGGGTTGGGGTGGGGGGCTCAGAGGGAAGAAAAGGGAAGAAAAATTAGTTTGCTTCTATGCAACAAACGTTATTAAGATGTAGTACTACTAATCTTTTTTGCCCAAAAAAATTTCTTTATTGCAAATGATGAAATTGTGGTTTACAGAGGAGATTATATGGATGGCGTCTAATCAATGTTGAATACTTTGTTGATCACTCGAATAATAATAATACAACCTCCACCAAATCTTTCACCGAAAACTATATGCCGGGATCGTTTTCATCGTACATGATTAGCGGAACTTTATTCGATCAAAATCGTGTGTCATTTGACCAAGATGATGAGAGGAGGAGGAGTGAAAAAAGGGTTTCTGCTCCATTGATTTAAAGTTTTTGTTTTTTTTTAGGAGACTTGATTCTTGTTGAAGGTTCCTTCAAGGCTTCGAGAGTAGCAGGAACAGAGCCGATGGAGCAGTTTCTGAAGGTGGGATTAAGCAGAAGAACATGACTTTTGTTTTATTACTCCATTAGGGTGGTGTTGTCAACTTAGTGTATCTTTTATTTTATGACTTTTGATAGATAAATCATCGCCCTTCATAAAAAATATTTTAAAGTCATAACCCCTTTATTAATTTAACTTATTCTAGTGTCCTTTAGCCAAATTTTCCCTAACAAAAATTGGACAGAGTATTGTGTATATTTTAAAATTTAAAAAAAAAACAAAAATCAGATTATGTAAATTGATAAAGTCAAATTTTATGATTTTAATTTTCAAAAGTGGATTGCATTTTGGTTTCCAAAAAGTACGAAGTATTACAATAGAAAACATTACTATCCTTAAGAAAACCCCATGCATGGAAGTAGCTAAAACTCTAGATTTTCTTAGCCAGAAATTAATCATCCAGTTTCAAGGTGCATGCATATGTGACTTCTTCAAGGAGAGATTACAATTTCTAAATATTTATCGTCCTTTATAATAACAGTATTTGATGACTCTCAAAAAATATATACTTCACTTTTTTCTTGAAATCATATACATTTTCCTCTCATTCATATGGAGTAAAAACTAACATTTATTCCAAATAGTAAAAAAGAAAAAAAAAAACATTTAACACAAAATGCAAAGGGTGCACCGAAACATCTGTTATACACGTACATGCCTTTTCACTCCAAATGAAGTCACACCTGAGTAGGTTGATACCAAAAAGTCCAAACCTAACATAACGGCACATATATATAGTTCATAGATACAACAATCTTGTTTAACATATATATGTTTATATATATGTATATATATATATATAAATATATATATATATAGATGTCGTTAGCGCTGAAACATTGATTTTCTTTCAGTCTGTTTGACAGTGTAACCTAATTTGATGGCGTATCTGACGAGTTCATCCAGTTCATGTTCACTGACAAATCCATCACCGTCTGCATCCGCGTGGCGGAGACAACGGGCGGCTCTCCAACCCGGTAAAATCGCGCCGAGGTATTTCAAAGCTTCCTTCAACTCTCTCTTGTCCAATTGTCCATCTCCATCTTTGTCGCACTTCTTGAACAATCCTTTCAGCTCTTTCCAGCTCGCCGGAATCGTCACATCTTTGGACTTGGGAATAATAAGCATCGCCATTTTTAATTGTAATAATATAATGCAGTACTCTAGCTACTGTCTACAGAAACATGTTTGATTATTCCTCCCATGAAAATGGCCGAATTTATACTGTGAAAAACTATACATTAATTATTAATTACAATACAAAGTCTCTATCTTGAATAGATTCCATTTATCTGTTTGATCAGTTCTTTATTCCAGGGGTTTGCTTCTGGATGGAATCTAGTCCATATCTATCTACACAGCATATCCAATAATATTATGCAACACAAACATAGCAATGAGAATCAAGTTTACCTTTTATCAAATATTTCAAAAATCGGGAGATGTTTTGTTTTCTTCAATTAACTTAATTTCGCATGACAAGATTGCTAGCGCTAAATTACTTGTATTGGAAGTTTACGAATATTTTGAGACTTTAAATATGGATTTTTTTCCATAATGATCAACCAGAAAAGTATTTCTGATGATTAACAATTGGATTAATTGTAACTTTTATTGTTACTACTGTATCCTCTTTGAATTTTTCGCTTACAAACAAATAATTAAATAAACATACTTTAGTAAAAGTTTTATAAGGTTCATAGCTAGGCCGGTTAAATCAATGCAAGTGTTGATTTTCAAAAAAGATATACAACGAGAAAAGATGCCTACCTTAGTCTTGGTGGAGTTCACAAATCTTTATTTACTCTTGTTATCTTTTGCATGTATAAATATTGAGACATCCATGTTCCACCTAATGTAGTCAGAGATGTTTACCTTCACCGAAATTATTAGACTGAAAATGATGTTGCTGTTGTTTATTTAATTTGTTTTTTTTTTCTTGGTTCTAGTAATTAAAAAATACCCATGTTTTTTATTGTACAATTTGAATTTTCACTTTTATTACAAATTTTACTAAAACTAAACCAAAAAAATTAGACAATGATTTCGGAATGAAGAAAATAGTTCTGGAATAATGATGTAAAGAAAAATTATAAATAAAATTTAAAAAAGTTTAATCATGGCCATCCATATTTACATCTCAACTTTTGGGGTTTATCCTTGTAAATTTCATATATATATTTATAACATTACCTTTCATTCTATTTGATCTGGTTGAACCATCAGATAATTTATTCCAACGGTTTCAGGAATCTGATCCTTGTCAGTAACATTCTATTGCTCCCAGATATAGTTTCCTCCTCTTATTACAAATTTGGTAATGAAACAACATCTTTTATTTTCTCTTAAAAATGACTACTCATTAAATTGCTTAATGTTTACGCTGAAGCTTAATGGCTTGCGAATGTCATACAGTGATTGTGAAGTCGGAAATTATTGTTATTATTATTATTTTTTAATATAGAGAAGGAGATGAAGAGCCTGAATGGTATACGTATTGGTGTAAAACAATGATACGTGATGGAGAAATATCTATTAGATCGTGTTATAAATGCAAAAATAAAGTAATTAGTTGGTAAACCACTAAATCTTTAGAACCCTAAGATTAATTACTGCAAGTCAAACTAAACACTTGGTTGCATAATTGATCTCACTAACCCCATGCTTCAACTCTATATTCCATTCTCCTTTGCCAATCAACTCCTTAATTCCAACACATCCTCTAGATATCCGCGCCGAATTTAGTAAAAGCATAAATTACGTTAGCATTTTTTTTCAGAACGCATTAATTTAAGTTACTAATTGAACTTTCCTTACGTGAGGGGAAAAACTACAAATGCATCGGAGTTTTACATTAATTCCAATTGTTACACCAGTGAAAAGGGTTGGTTGTTGATCTAACATTTATGTACAAAATAATATTTGAAAAAATGAGAAAATAGACAAGAGTATCAAATAAGATCTATGAAAAATGTATCCCTCTCTTCTTTTTATTTGGTCGATGACTCGATGGATAAGTGTTTATTGTACTCCTAAGATATTGGGGTGGATTCCCTTTACAAAAGAATGGAATCCGAACACCTCAATATTTTCTCAAAAAAATAATCCACATTGATATTGCAAATTTGTACTGTTTCAAATTTCAATATGAACTATTTTTTAATACGGAGGGAGTATTATATTATTCCATGTGATTATTTGAACATTGGAAGCTACAGTGGACCAAATTTAATCATTACAGGAAAAGGGAACCAAGTAGCTAGGCGTAGATTCCATCGGTCGAGAGAACTTGATGCTGAACATATAATTCCTGAATTACATATCCTTCGATTAAAATACCATTTTTTTATATTCGGTATAACCGAGATAATTTTTAATAAACTGACAAGAAAACACATAACGGGCTTTGTCTGTGATACAGGGCTGGGGATAGTAGAGCAATTACTTTCTATCTCCATCATAGATTTCATATAATGGTGTACCAAGTTGTGACTTGCTAGTCATTAAGCTATACAAAATTAAGCCATGTAACTTCCTCTAATAATAATATATGTCCTTCGTATTAAACCTCCTATGTTGAAACTAAATCATAGTCCCTCCAATATTTATAATAAAACATATTTTGATTTGTTTAGATTTCATTTATTGTGTTCTTTTAATTGAAAATAATACCTTAAAATATTTTTAAGATTTACTTTTCAATTAGGAAAACACCAAAAAATGACATTTTAGACAAATCAAAGTAACTTATAATTACGACTGAAGACGGTACAACAAACAATACTTTTTTTTTTCCCTTTTTTCCGAGATGATGAGAATACTGTACTTGTCATTGCTGTCATCTCTTAATTCCACAGACGGGAACTCATTAAAATGATGACCTAGTTTTGAAGACTCTCTAGGGTTTAAAATATTTGCCGCAGTGCCATACAGTTATAGTTCATCTTTTACTCTTTTCATTACCAATATTTTAGTATAGTACTCGATCCTTAAACATTCCCTTCAATTTTGAAAATGAAAACAAATGCTTCGTTACATTAATCGATCCCTCTGCCTAAGTAATACTAATGGTCAATAAGGAGAATTAGTACTACTGAAGTTTGATTTCTCCTAAACTAGTTCTTGTACCCCAAATGATTATATTGTTTGAATTTTTATTTTTAATACAAATTAAGGGACAAAAAAAAACTTTAAGCTTATGCTTAGTAGTACGTTTTAAAAAAGGAGTACACAAGCCTTCTTACTATTATTCATGAAGGCGTAACCTTATTAAGCACTTTTGCTACCAGGACAGGCGTTCTTATAATTCAGTTTTCGAACGTAAGCAACCAACTGATTAAACTCTTCTAGGCTAATCTGACCATCGCCATTTCTATCTGCAAACTGGAGAGCTTGTCGTGCTCGCCAACCCGGAAAAAATGAACCCATGTCACGGAATGCGTTGACAAGCTCATCTTTGCTGAAGCTGCCATCACCATCCTTGTCGGCCATCCTAAGCAGGTCCTTCAACTGTTGTTCAGTTAAAGGCGTGGTTTTGCAAGGACACTTTACAAGGCTCCCTTTAAAAGCTTGACGGATCTGAATCATGACTTCAAAAGTTCGTCTTCTTAAATAATTTGGGATTTTGATTACGGACCGCTAGTATTACGATGACTGTAAGTACTGGTTAATCATCAATTTATACTACTCTTGTTGCATCCATTTGTGGTTTCAGGCTAAGCGAAGATAACATATCTTATTGCTCCGAAAAATGAAAATGAAATCATAATTGATATTTAATTTAGGCTATTGGATCTTGTAGGGAACAACTATATTCTAACCTATCCTTAAGGAGATACTACTTGTTAATTAGACAAAGTTAGTCAATTTTGCTGCACTGTTTTAATGACATGAGATTAATATCTATTACTCTCTCCTCCATGCATGCCATATATTAATCATTGGAATCTTGATTAGTATTAGTGTTATTGTTTATGTTGCTGGAGAAAAAAGTATATTTTTACTAGTAAACTTATTTTAAAATTTCAATTTTTTCTAAGTAGGACTACATGAAGTTTACGATTAAAGCCTCTACGTTATGTATATTTATAATTTTGTTTTACACCTATTATACTAGCACATGTGAGAAACAATATTATACAAGTACATATAGGTGAGATCTATGGAGAAAGAGATAGTAAACTGTTAGGGAATGCAAGCTGCGAACTTGCACAATTTAACACTTATAGTATTGTTAGCGGGAGTCGAAATCCAATCTTCCAAGATTGATGCCAAACTCTAAACCATTGGGCCATTCCCTTGTTGGCCGTTATATATGTGTTGATCTTACCAGAGTAATCCAAATAATTAGGATTCTTGCTAGTCAATCTAGATGTTATGCAAAAGATGCATTAGATCTGCAAGAATTAAATTCCATTTGGAGTAGTTCTTCAAGTGTCTCAACTCTCCAGTTATTCTTATGGATCTTAATTACTCGATACTTCCTCTATCAAGGATGAATATTATTCGGTTTGGGTTTTCATGTTTAGTAAGAGTGATATATTAAAAATGAAAATCCAAGAATGACAATTATTTTTTCATCGAGGGAGCAACACAATTTTTTTAAAAAAGAAGTACCTGTTATATACCAATTAATAAATTAGTTGCTTCCAAAAGAACCACAAAATAAAGGTTTTAATGTTTTTTTCTGCAAATAAAATAGAGTTATTGAAAGAATATACTTGCAAATGAATTAAGCAAAACCTCATCCATACAATTTTTAGTGCTGAAGTTTAATTTGGCAGTCAAAATTACGATCTAATCAAACCGACCTCCAGGGCTCCATGAGCTGAGATATGTATGGTTCGATTATTCCAACAAATATTATTGAGTTCCTGAGGTTGCTATGACATCAAATGACTTGCGTCACATATGTTTCGACGACCAGAGAAAAATTTTGCTCAACTTACTGGCTATCAATTTCTGCACCAATGTGTATATTTCGCGGACAAAAAGTTACTTCTTAAGTACTTTCAGATCTCATGAAAAGGTTAGTTTATACGGGAAAACAAAAAACTGGTCATGAAAAAATGAAAACCTTTTTTTTTTTGTTAGTATTTAAAAAAAAATTAAAAGAAAGGGAACTAGATCACTTTGTTTTACTAAAATAGGGGTCTTTTAGGATGACAAAGTAACACATATATATTGTTATACCAACTCATGTTCTCGGTATCCCTCGTTTAAGATTACTAAATGACGAAAATTTGTTAAGAGTACTCTTATATTCTTGTAAGACAATGGATAAAAGTTTAATTTTATTTTGGAAAACCAAATACTAATTTCGAAAAAAAATTCTGTTGTAGTGGTGACTTTTCACAAAGAGACAAGGGACATATTACGAACTTCTCTTGATGAAAGAAAATTTTTCTTCCGTTTAACTTTTCGTTAACTAATGTACTCAAGAAAACACTTTATTACCATGTGGCGAACAAATTTAACCGAAATATTAATGTTCTACCCAATAACGGGATGAAGTACTCTTAACTCGTTAAATCAGTGAATTGTGGGGTGAACTTATGATACTCCGACCATGTCTTCCTTTTTCTTTTCTGTCACGAGTGTTTGATCCCTGTGAAAATTGAAATGCAATATATAGCAATCTACAAAATAGTTTAATTATTTTATCTTCCTTTTTCTTCAAAAAGAAATCAACTTCAAAACTGTATAATACGTTTTTTTTCTTCGGTTAATTTAAATTTTAATATATCATAGCTATAATTAAATGATTGAAAGAAAAAAAAAATAGCCTCATGTTCCTTTGTTCCATATGGATAGACGGAGACTCTTAAACTCAACATATATATCTCATGTGTTACCCCCCTCATAGCCAATTGGTTTTGAGGTGGAACTACATGTGGGCTTATAGAGGTCTTCAAGATGGTATCAGGGCGGGTTTTATCCGTGGACTTGTGGGACTTGTGAGGCGAGGTTGACTGACTAATATTGGACCTTTGACTTGTCCAGATTCGGGTTTTGACTTTAAACTTTGACTAGCCCGGTTGACTAGGCCGGCAGGCGACGGTTTATCTGAAAAAATAACCAATCGCAAGATTGAAAAAAATATATATATTTATATATATATATAAAAGAAAGATAAAATTACCCGTCCAAGCCCATTGGGCTTGAGAAGGGCATGTTAAATGATTGGAAGAAATAAAAATGGTATCGTGTTCCTTTGTCCCACATAAATAAATGGAGACTCTTGAACTCAACATATATACCCTATATACTACTCTCCTTATAACCAATTGGTTTTAAGGTGGAACCACATATGAGGTTATATAGGCCTTCAAGAATAACTAGCACCTACGTACAACATCACATTTTGGCCACCTAAGGAAGATATACAACCGAACTACAAGGTACATCAACAGACGTTACAATAATGTCCGTAAAAAAATGACTCTGTTGACTATGCTCTCGTGACTGTGGGCGAAAACACCTTCTAGTGTGTGACGTCAATTTCGTTTCGTTTCTCTGACGTAGCTACGTCCGCCATGGCAAGAGGAACGAAGAAGAAGAGCAAAGCAGCTGTCAACGAACATCACGAGCAGCCAGAAGACGAAAGGAAACTGCAGACGATTGATTGCGTGAACAATTTGGCGAAGGATCAGATTTAAAAGGATGGAAGCTAAGGAAAATATTCTGAAGCATAGTATTTACTATTTTGATAACAAGCCATTTATTGTGAAAGATTGGTCAGTGGAAAAGGATATAGCTATGAAAGACATAAAATCTGTCTCAGTGTGGATACAGCTGCCAAAATTGAAGCTCAGGTACTGGAATCCAATCTCATTAAGTAGAATGATGAGTACTGTTGGTATTCCACTGGAAATGGATGATATAATCTCAAAAAAGTTGAGAACAGCTTTTGCCAGGGTATTAGTTGAGGTTAAGATTGCTGATAAGGTTCCGAATTCTATTTAGTTTTAAGATGAAAATAGCCTACTGCAGGAATAACCAATAGTTTTCGAATGGAAGCCAATCCAGTGTTTGAACTGTAAAGGATTTGGTCATATGGCTGACATCTGCAAGCATCCAACTCCACAGGAATGGAAGGCAAACACAGATGGCAGGCAAACTATTCCTGGATTAAAAGATAACACTGGAAAAATGCAGGAAAGAATAGAAATTCTGGAGATTTCTGAGGAAGCAGAAAAGAATGTGGCTCTGAGCAAAGGCAAGATGCACAGGGAGAACAGCCCCAGTGGGAAGGGTAGCTCAAGTGAATCTGAAATAGCAACTAAGGGAGATGAAGTAATGACACAAAATCAAAAAGGAATGAAGGTGGTAAGTGGAAGACAAAGTGAAAGAGTAAGCTCAATGCATGTGATATATTCTGTTGATACTAGTAACCTTTTTATAGGGTTTAGTAAACATGAATAACATCATGAGCTGGAACATTAGGGGACTTAACAGTCCCCTGAAACATAGAAAGGTTACTTCATACCTCTCTATGAATAAAGTTGGGTTTGCAGGGATATTAGAAACAAAATTAACAGGGGAAAAAGCTAAAGAGATAGTGATGAAGAAGTGGCATCAATATGAATACTATGGTAATCATGGAGGGAAGAGCAAAGGAAGTATATTAGTATTATGGAGGAAGGAAGAATATGAAGTTCAAATACAGACTTTTAATAAGCAGTATATTCATTGCTGGGTGAAAAATCTCAACACTAAGTGCTGGTTCTATGTGACAGTGGTGTATGCAGACTATTTGGTTCAAGGGAGGATTAAGCTGTGGGAGGAGTTGAAACAGATTGCAGATCACACAACTGGAGCATGGCTAATAATGGGTGACTTTAATTGTGTAACTAATCCTGAAGAGAGATTAGGAGGAAGGAAGGAAGGAAGTGCTGATACTGACAACTTTAAAGCATGGATGGAAGATGGTGAAGTATGGGAAATGCTAGTCTATGGAAGAAAATATACATGGTGGAATAGGCAAGTTGGTGACCAAAGTATTATGGCTAAATTGGATAGAACTTTGGGGAATGGAGAGTGGTTCAACCAGTTTAGTACAGCATATACCACAATAATTGCAGCAGGAATCTCAGATCATAATGCTTTGATTGTTAGATGGGGAGATGATCTAGTGATTAGCAAGAAATCGTTTAGATTCTTTAACATGTGGACTCAGAGCAAAGAGTTTCAATCCATTTTTAAAGAAGTCTGGCAGAAGCAAATCACATGTACCACACAGTTTAGGGTTGTGAGTAAGCAAAAGTTGCTTAAAAAGCCACTGAGAGATTTGAATAGAAGGAAGTTTGAGAATGTGGAGGTCAAATATCAAGAATGTCATAGCAAGTTGATCATGATCCAAGACCAACTTAGCTTAGATCCTGAGAATGTTGCTATGCAAAAGGAAGAGAAGCAAGCCAGAGATGAGTATGTGGAAGCAAGCAGACATGTGTTGAGCTTTTGGTCTCAGAAACTTAAAGATAAATGGATACAGGAGGGGGATATTAATAGCAAGTATTTTCATGCCAGTTTAAAGGAGAAGAGAAGCATCAATAAGATCAGATCCTTTATTAAAAATGATGGTGCACTAGAAGAGGACTATCAGGAAGTGGAGAATCA